AAAAATATTTACCCCTTTTAAAATATAAAAATACTTATAAGAGTGAGTTTATATATGGATATTATTTTTTTAAAATTTATATTAAATTTTAATTAATTTAAAATTAACTCCCATCAAATTTCATAAAAAAAAAATTTTTAATTTATCTTTGATTTATAATATTTAAATTTAAAATCTTACTTAAAAAATTAAATTTATTTTTACTCAAGCAAACAAAAAATTAGATGTTGAAAGTTGTTGTTAGACTTTCTGATATTTTAAATACAATAACATTTGGATTTTTCCACTGCGCTTTTATCTTTTGCTTAGGTCTTTTAATAAGAAATCAGGAATCATCGCCCATTTTCTTTGATACCAATCCAAACATTCTCTCTCTAAAAAAATTTATATATCTCCTACTAGCTATCCACCATCCGGAGTCTCTCTCTTTCGCATCCTCTTCTTGGGTTACTCTTCCATCTCTGTAGTTAATTTTTCCAACAAATTAATGTCTCTCCACATGCATGTTTTCAACTTTGAGCATTAAGAAGTCAGCTAAAAGCGAAGGTACGCTTCTGAATCCCCAGCTATAGTTATTTTCCAAGCCTTGTAGCTATAGTATTTTTGCTCATATTTCATTTTACATATGTTTTCTTTGGCTTTTTTTTTTTTTTTCCAAACTTCTGATGTTTTCTTTAATTTTTCAAATCGTTATTTGGCATCCTCTTCTTGTGCTGCGTACTCTCAAAATCTTTGTAGTTAATTTCCAGCAAATTTCTCCACCCTTGCGGTTTCAGTTTTGAGCATTGACAAGGTATGCTGGTCTTAATCCCCAGCTATAGATATAGCTACCTACATTATTTTTACTCAAAATTCATTTTACCATATGTTTTCTTTGGCCTTTTGCCATCTTTTCGTGGATATATATGTAATTAAGTATAACTTCAAATTGTTACTTCTTTGTGTGTGTGTTTTCTTCATTTTTACGTTGAATAATCCCTATACAAATACTACTATATTGAACATAACACGGATAATATTATGAATTAATTAGTATTGTTTAAATATATTTTTATTTAAAAATATTTTGATTATTGATTGTCTTTTAATTCATTAAAACATCTATTTATTTTTAATTAAATTATGTCTATAACTAATATAATGATAATTATAATGATGAATATCTTATAAAATTTAAGAATATCCCATTCGAAAAACTTGGACATGTAACAAAAATGAAAATTTTCAAAGCTAAAAATGCTCTGTGTCGAGACTACAACGTGGGTAGCGGCACTCTTGTTTATGTCATCCTAGACCCATATATATTTTCCAAGGGCTTAAGGCATAGTGTCCACACGTAACAGATAGCTTCGACACAAAACCCGTGTCGGGTTTTTGGATCTCTCTGCAATTTCTTTAATGATAAAATACAATGAACAATTTAGTCCTATGACTTCATATTCATTCACGTAGATCCCTGAAAGTGACTCTTTTTTCTCCCAATACAGTCCCTCAACTTTTAAAGAATATTCAATCAAGTCCAAAAGCTTTGTTTATTATGCATTCAAATCCCTTTTTTCCAAATATATATATACATTTATAAATTCTATTAAAAACCACATCCCATTCATTTATCTAAAAAAAATCAAAACTAAAATAAGAAATTAAAATATATTATAAGCTTAAATCCAACAAAAAAAAAAAAAAAAGCTTAGAGCTGGGCCCAACTTACTAAACCCCACATTACAAAATATTAGCAGGCAGTGCCCAAGAGTGAGGAAACTAATACTAAGATAGAAAATAAAATCCAATTCAATTTAAAGTTTTCTAAAATCAAACCGTGGGGAATCGAAATAGAAACTGGAGACAAACTCCATTGGTTTTTTATGCTGAGTAATTGAAAATTAAATTATCAAATATGTGAGGGGAGAATCTGAGATCTCAAATTAGACATTTACTTTAAAATTATGTAGCAAATTTCACTCTAATTTTACTAATTTTAAGGAATGATAGACTTCTGTTAAGTCCTACTTGCCACTGTTATTAATAGTCATCATTACTTGATAATTCTGTTGTAGGAAAAGTGTCCCAAAGATACTATAATGGAAGGACTTAGGATGCTTAGGTAACAGAATTAAATAACTATAAATCAAATGATAAAATGTTATGAACTCATGCTCTAAAAATTTTAACTCAAGTTCAGTTTGATTTTGATTAGTTAGTTTACAAATTCTCATAATTAAAGTTAAAACTTTAATTTCTTTTAATTTGAATTGATATGTACTATATTACTATACGTTTTCTTTGGCTTGTTGCAATCTTTTAATGGATATATCTCTTCACATATTACTTCCATGATATATTACTTCTATGAGTGTGTGTTATTATTATTATTTTTTTTTTTCATTTTTACATTAAACAATCTCTATATATACCATTATGTTGATTGAATCAGATAAATAATATTAAGTGTTTTAATTAGTCCTGTTTAAATATATCTTTATTTTAGAATTTTTTATTGATTGTGTTTTAATTCATTAGAGTATCCAATTATTCTTAATTAAGGTATCTTTTTAATTAATATAATGATGATTAAATTTTCTTTCCTAATTATTGTTTTACTGTCACTTTCAATCTAATATTTTCCCGAAGCTACAATCTTTGCCGAGGGAAGCCTTCCCTCCCTCGCTTGGGCAACTATACATCAGCGGGTGTCTGCATCTAAGACGACAGCGCTTTGAGGAGAAAGGAGACTACTGGACTCTCACATGGAGCATCCCAAACGTTTGGATATATGAGGATGTGGATGAGGTAATAAGAGCTTGGTGTGAACTAAAATAGGCATCACCATTTTATGCTTTTCATATGAGAATTTAGAAAAATTATAATAGATAACACTTTTCTTTGACTTCTGCTGCCTTTTCTTATAT